TTATTTAATATTTAAAATAATGGATATTTAAATAATTAATTATTTAAAATTTATTATTGCAAGACATTTTAAATATAAATTTTCTGCTTCAAATTTTCCAAACGACACTCCATGATTGCAAAGTGAGAAGAGTTTTTCTGAGGTGGTAGGAAATGAAGCATTGTGTGCAAAGAGAAGATGAGGCTGCTGACATCCGTGTGCAAACATGCTGCGTTTTTTAGGACGGCTATCATAAACTTGTGCCTGCTGGGTTACACATGACAACATGTTCATCTGCAGGAACACAAACATTTGCTGCTCTGATCTCAAGCTATTCCTAAGCCTCCAGATTTGTTCTTTTCAGAGAACCTGCATCACATCGACAACAAACTGCTCATTTGTTTCCATTTGTCTCATCACTGTATAACTGTACCTCAGCTCTCCATATTCCTTTGGTCTGACGGTTTGTTTAGCAGTTTGTCATCCAGTATTTTCTGCGGCACACACTCAAATATTCCCACGGTGGAAGCAAAATGCCAAAAAAACCCACACGATATGGAGGTGTGAATGCAAAGTTATGAAACGACTCAGTGCTGATGATGGCTGAGATCTCCACTTACTGCTCATGACTGACTAATACTGTCTAATGTATACAATGGAGTGAAGTGAATGAGTGACAGAGGCTGTGATTTCACATGCAGGTTTTTTTTCTGCGCTCTGAGAAGATGAAGAAGACAGTTTTCAAAGATTTAATTTTTTTTTTTTTGCAGAGCTCTGTCAGGGTTTTTGTGTTATTGTTTTCACAGGTTAACAATGTTTTTCTATATTGTCCCATGCCTTTGGGATATCACTCATTGTTTACTGGTCTTAATTTATTTTTGTTTGCTTGAGCCAAGTTGGATCTTTTCTTTCTGCTTCAAGTCCTGGCAAGGAGTGACAATGTGCAACATGGAGTTTAAAAACTCTCAGGTGTTTAACAAATTCTGCAGTACGACACTCATCAGCCTTCCTGCTGGTAAGTCTTTGTACAGCCCCAGTAGGACAGCACTTAGTCTGGAGCTGGAGGATTTCACATGGTGAGAGCAGACAAAGAGAGGAATCCTTGGCTAGTTCACTTCTCACAATGTTTCTAAACTGTAGAGTCCTGGTCCTTTTTTATGCGCTAATCTTTTCAGCTCAGCTCAATGGCTTTCTGCTGGATTTTAGTGTGTGGAGTCACTTGGGCATAGAAGAAGGCTGATTATTGTGCCTGAGCTGTGGTTGAAGCTTCGAAGCTAATACTGCCTAAAATTTAAATGAAGTTCTGAAACCCATGCAATATTACCTTTTCTTTATTTCATTTAGCCATATTTCAGTTAATATTGGAGCCTAAAACAATGCCACAACTCATCATCTATCTGGATGTTGTAATGGTTGACTTCAACAAACCCATTTAAAGGGGTTTGTTGAAGCCAGGCACATGTTGCCATTTTACCTTGTGCTGTAAAATGGCACATAATGGACATCAAAACACTTGTAAAAAATTATGTCCATATTAATTTTGACTTAAAATAAATTTGAGTTCACAATCTAACACCTTGAATTTGGGCTCTCCTACAAAGAGCTACTTCTCTTTGTAATTGGCATCACTGTTGGAAACTAACAGTTGTTTGCTGAACTGTTGCCATGGAGCTTGGTGTATTTATGGATGCAAATGTGTTTTATGTGTGTTTGTGTACCTGGCTGCAGTCCATCACCTCCCCCGTCAGGGCTGACAGACACCTACAGGAACCCAACCTCATTGTTTTTCATGTCGAATGTGCCGCAGCAAACAATACGAGCAGCTGCCATGGAGGCTTGAAATAAACATTAGCATGGAGACATCAGCAGCACCAACGTCAAGGTGGTTTATGTCCACAGGGACAATCACAGATTTACTCTGATGGACAGAGCTACTAGGAGCTACTGTTAATAGTAGTTAATTATTCTCATTGCTAATTAATTAAATAGACAAAAAAAAAAGCTGGCACATTCTGCTGATTTTTCATTTAACCAAGTAAGCCTTTTTTATACACTGTTAGAAATACATTAAATAATTGTTTTTCAAGGAAATATTTTGTTGCCTGAAATGCTATAATGTAGCATTCCTGTAGTGTACACTTAATCATTTGTAGCAAAGGATGCATCTCCAGATACAAATATCATTCCATCGTGTGAAAAAATCAACTTTGCTTGATTTAGCATCTGTACATGTGGGGTCAACCTGCTGACTATTTTTTGGATTAGTAAACTAAGAATTGCATAGCAACCTTTTGATTAATAGATTTTTAACGCATTTTGAGCCTAGTGGAGCTAAAACTGCCACTTGATGAGAATATATTTACAGATCATTTATATTTCTATTTTAAAAGCACATTTATTAATATTTTTTAACAGTTTTGGTTTAATTACTGCTCTTACTGTCCTTTCACCAAATGATCTTGGTGAAAGGACTCTTTGTGGATTCTTTGCATGCAAGACTTCTACAGTTAACAATTAATTGATACTGACATTGAACATGACATCATATATCTGGACAAAGCAGGCAGCCCTGAGGATCTGTTCTCCAGAACATTTAACATAATTCATCCTGATTTACTTCCAGAAGACACAGGTGGAAGCCTCAACAATCACCTGGATGAATATGTAACCAGGTGGTCAGGAGCCCCACAGGGAGCTGTTCCGGCCTCATTTCTTTTCATTCTGTGCTCTTCAGACTTCCATTACAAAACAATCTGCTTTCATCTGCAAAAATACTCAGGGGACGCTGGAGGATTCTTTATAAAGTCAAGAAAATTATGAACGACACTGACCATTCTAGTGTCATTTACAACCGAGGTTCTTCAGTTTGAGGCTTTTTCAGAGTTGCTGTATTACAAACTGCTACAAGAGATCCTTCCTGGCCACAACCATGAGCATCTATGAAGAAGTAACTTGGACAGTATTTAATTCCCCTTTGGGATTAATAAGTGTTTGCTTAATTTGATTTGAAAAAGTTGAAATCGCCATAGTAACCACTGTTTTAGCGACACTCTTCCATTACTAAGCAGCTACTTCTTTCTTATATTCTTCTATCATGAATTCACTTCCACAACAAGGCAGCAGGAAGTTGGTTTGCTCACTGTTTTCAGGCAGCAGCTGCATGCTTTTAAATTAAGATATTTTTTCATCTTTTTTTCTTTTTTTTAATGTTTTTTTCTCATTTCTATGTCCTTTGCATTTTGAAGGACTCTACAGTCCAATAACTTCTGTTGTCTTAATCTCTGTGAGGAAAATCACAACTTCCTTCTCTTCTTCCTTCCCCTTCTGGCCGATTAAATATTAAGCTGTGAGGGCATTAATATATTTCTTTGCTGATTTAAACCAGCTCACTGGAGCCTTGAACATCAGCGCTGAAATGATTTACAGAGGAACAAGAAGCCTAATTTCCTCAGAGGTGCATATTTCCCTCTTCCCCCTGAAACATTTGAGATTAGAGTATCTCCACAGCTCTCTTTTATTTGCGTTATCTATGACTGAATTGTGCAGCTTTATTCCTGCTGCTGCCTGGTTACTGGAGCTCTTCATCAATCTGCCTTGTGAGCAAGACTCCATCCTTTTGTTTTATCCTCTTTGTGATTCTCTGCTCATTACACACCTCTGACAGAAGTTTCTTTAAGTGTCTCATTTCCTTTTTCTCTTCTTGTTTTGTTAGTAGACTGATAAAGGAAGTCTAAAAGACTTCCTTTATCAGTCTGTTTATTTCTGCTTTGCTCTGCAGATGACCATAAATTCTCAGTATTTAACATATATTTTGTCCACTGACGAAGGATGCTGAATGATCAATGATAAATGTATAAGTTGATTCGCATTTAATGCTGCACACCAGCTGTTCAATTATTTTGCTACATCTCTGCATTTTATTTTCTGGATTCTTTGCACGGAAGACTGCTTAGGATCCTGGTGTTTTGAGGCTAAATTTCTTCTAAGAAACAGAGTTTTTACCTTTATGAGGAAGGGAACGGTAAAGCAGCGCCTAAAGCTCATAAATAAATTTAGATTAAAAAGCTGCGCAGTTCTTCTTTAGGCAGAACGTCTGAGGATTTTAATTTTCTAGGAGATTAACTACTTACTGCTCATAATTTTGGTGTGTGAAGGAGGGAAAATGTTGTTTGTCTCAAAGTACCTTAAAATGCCATTTGTTTTCAATGTGTTTGAATTTCAGCAGCCAAGAAGGTTTTCACTGAGAGAATAATACAATACTTGAGAGGTTCAGTGGCGACACTGGAGCAAATCTGCTCTGCTGACTACATCAAATTAGGGTTCTGACCATGTTGTCACTCATTTTGTCAAAGGTCAGCATCCACCGCCAATGCCCATGCCTCAGTTGCAGCTGTCATCGTGATGTTTTTTGGGGTGCCCGAGACACCCAAAAAGCCAGAAACTGACTGTGCGTAATGCAGAGGAACATGTTTAAAGTTTAATCTAAAAGAGGCTAATGTGAACTGACAGTAAACTGTAAATGTAAGGTTTGCGGGTGAAATTCTGATCTTGACATTTCCAAGATCAGAATTTCCACACGTGAAAAAGTTAGAAACATAGCCTCCATTTGCATTCAACTGTCTATTATGTATATTGCAGGGATAAAAGTGCCATTTTTATCAAGTAACTATGTTACCTTCAGTTGACATAAAAATGCTTTAAACATCAAACATAACTTAAAATAAAATTGAAATTTAATGACTTAAATGGGGTCTCTGTCTCCTTAAGAAGCTCCTACTCTTTCCGAACCCTTGCTTTCAGAACGTCATCACAACATTCCTCTAACCATTGAACAATTTTCTTACCAGTGTTTTACTGAGAATTGGTTTGTTCACTCTTTTTGCATTTACAACTCCTGAAACAAACTTTCCAGACGAATGAACTAGTGTTCAAATAATGTGGATAAACAATTATTGGCTGGTGTGAATCCAGCCTAAGAAAGCTGTGCTGAAACAAATTTCTGGACATAAAACATTGCTTACCTGGCATGCTGACCCAGTTGGCTTGTGGCATCGGATGAGGAACCGGCAGAGCGACGGGTGCCGCCAGCATCTGAGAAGGGCAGATCTGCGGAGGCGGCTCCCTCTGCACCTGCAGAGGCTGTGCCGGTGGCGGCGCCGATGGGTATCCGGCAGTATGAGAAGAAAGTGGCTCCATCTCCACAGCCCGCAAACATTGTTCTCTGAGTCTGTCCTCTCTGTGCCGCTTCAGCCGGCGCTGTAAAAAGCTGCAGAAGCAGCACAGCATAACGATGAGGGCCCAGACCAACCAGAAGCCAGCGAAACAGGCCAGGAAGGTGTAGGTGCCCTGGGACATCACCATGACGGTGACAAGAAGAGTAGTGACTTCTCCACCCCAGGAGATAAAAAATGTTCTTTAAAACTTTTCTTCAGAAAAGTGAAAGGGAGAACAGGCCATACAAGTTCATAAAGCTTGAGACAGATTGAAAAGTACCCTAAACGTCACATGTTTGATAACTGATATAAGTCAAAGTATCAAATTAAAAATAAGGACGAATGTTTGTGATGGACGTTATTATAACAGCTAAAAACAATAAATGTTATAGTTTCAAATGTGTTAATAGTAAATCAATCAAATTCTTAAAAGCAGTTGCGGTTTATGTTGCTCTCCTCCAAATTTTACTATTTCATAAGGTTACAACTAATGATTAGTAATTGATTACCCAGACAATTAATCAGATCAATAAAAAAGCATACTTTTAAGATCTTTAAGCATATTTAAGCCTTTTTTATGCAATATTAGAAATGCATTAAAAGATGCAAATCAACAAATGCACTTCCTTTTTAAATAATAAAGAATTTATTGCTTAATACAGCAAACAGCTTGATGATGTGCAATTTGACTATTTCTTTGCATTAACTGATTATTAAATGAATAGCAAAGGAGTTTAAGTGATTTTGTTCTTTACAAAATTTGAACCAGGTGACGCCTGAACTGAGTTCTTTGCAGAACATATTTACAAAGGATTTTTGTTCTAAATGCAAATGTATATATTTTGTACAGTTTTGGCGTAAACATCCACTTAAAGCCCCCACGCCGCTCCTCAGGATCTACACGAATGAAAACATTTTCCTATCAGAGAAAAAACTAATGGTCTTCTTTCAGGTTGTGATCTTTGGAGAGTTGAATGGAGGCAACATCCAATCAGAAGCGCCAAAATCCACAGAAGTGATGCCTTCATCGGCACACAGCCCAACAGCTGGTCCCTTTAGGGAGTCTGGGGTCCCTCCCACACTGTCGGGAAGCCGAATTCCTCCCCCTTAGATCCCAGCGGGACTCTTGATTCTCCCAGTGCTCTGCGAACAGAAACAGACATTTCTGATATAGGGAGGAATAGACGCAGACTGTTTAGTTGCTGGGATCAGATTTATGCCCACAGAGGAGCTTTGAGATAAAATATCCAAAGTGAAGGAGGTAACTGAAAGCTTACATCTCAAACTTATGAGGTTCAGGTATTACTTTTAGGTTAAAAACAAATCTGGGTTCTTTCTGAGTACCTCAACTTCCTCCCAGAGTTCAAAAACAGAACTGTTGGCTGATGCTTGTCTCGCATGTTTCTGTGTAGCATCATGTCATGATGTTGTGACCAGCATTAAACTGGTCACAACATTATAACATGATATAAAGCTCAAAAAAGTTGATTTTACACAATACTGCCTCTTTAAAGTTTGCAACATTTGCTGCGGTTCGCTTTCACACTGTCAAACAGAACAAACTATTTGAATAACCTGTTCCCCGCCCTCACCTGGACCAAGAACCACTGAAGGAAATAACATGAAAACCTCTGAAGACGACACTGAGTGCAACATCCCTTATCATAAAATATGAACAAAAATGGAGTGGTGTCAGACTTTAGCGACTGTAGGATTTCTCTTTTGCATTTGGCAAAAGACCATGAGCCATTTCTCCTATAGTAGAGCTGGACTCTTGTGCTTGTTTTTGTGTTATTTAAATTTTTTATTTCAGAATGTCCTGCACTGTAATCCATTTCCTGCAAGTACCCATACAGATCGGGGTACCCATCTCCAACCCTGCAAGGAGAAGCAGATATTGACAACAAATGGATAAACGTTTTTTAAGGCACAAAAGCACAAAACTAAATCTAATGAACAACAGAAAATCCTGATATTTCTGTCCTGTTTCTCCACAGTGATTCACAGACTTTTCTGTTCAGTTTAAGGATTAATTCTGAGCACTGAAGTTCCCCCAGGGCTCCATGTCAACCACCCCAAACAAACCTGACAGAGAGTCAGTCCAGATCTGACTCTTTGTGGAGATGGCGCTGTTAACATTTATTTCAGATATTTTTACAACAAACTCTTTGTGTGTCTGTCTCCTTTCTGGGAAGTGTTTAGTATAGTTTAGTCACTCTAGCAACAACCTATTAAGTAATTTGTGCAGTAGCAGTTTTGCCACTGTGTCTCATAACTGCCTAAAAATAAAAACGGAGTGAAAGGAGAAAATAAATACATCTCAAGAGGAAAGTGGATAAAACAGTTCATCACAGTTAACAGTTTAACAAATAACTTGTCAGGGTGCCTGTGTGAGAGTGCATGTGTGTGAGTGCGAGTGTCACATCTCGTCCAGAGAGGATCTTGGTGAAGAGCCGGAGGAGTCTGCACAGGTGGAGATAGATCATCAGCCTCATCAGAGCGCGCTGGGATTTAGGACCGGCAGATCTTTCCTTCAGTGCTAGATGATTACGCTCATCGGTCGTCACTCTGGTCGTCTCTCGTTTTGCAGTCGCTAAGAATTGTTCCTGAGTTACCTGAAGCTTCCTGATCTTTGTATTTTTGCCACCTCCAGGTTTGTCCCTCCGCTCGTGAATCTTCCTGCAAGTATCAGCCTGCCTGCTCCGCTGCCTTCCCTGTCACTACTCACTCCGGCAAGCCTCCGGTGCTCTGTATTGCCCCACCTCGTACTCACCACTGGGACCGCCGAACCACTCTCCACTCAGGACCCTGGCACCTCTACCCCACGCCTCAGCGAACCTTCGTGAAGTAAGCCCGTACCACTTCCCTCTCAATCTGTCCGTTCACTTCCAGCCATCTAAATCAGTTCTCATTTCAGGCCTTCCTGGTCGAGTCATTCTCCCACTCCCTGCTGAGGTCCAGAGGATTAAGATTTTGACCTGTTTAATAAATATTAACTTTTTTCCTAAGAAATGTGCGGTTTCTGCATGTGGGTCAGAAATCTAAAGCCCATCATGTCATAACTATCATTAATTATTGATATTAACTGATATGAAATGCTTATCAGTCAAATCATTTTCTTAAGAAGTTACATGTTGTTGCTGCTATATTGTCTAGAAACGGTTAGGGTGTGCTGTGGTGGCGCAGGGGGTTAGCACGCCCCAGTTTGGAAGCCTCAGTCCTGGGTTCGACTGGGTTCGTCGTGGGTTCAACTCCCGGTCCCTTTGACGCATGTCTCCCCCCCTCTTCTTGCCCTCTTTCCTGTCTGCTTACTGTCAAAAATACAAGCAAAAACTCTTCGGAGAAAAGAGGAAAAAAAAAAAAGAATGAAATGTGTATATATATGGGTGCTGTGGTGGTGCAGGGGCACAGCACCTGCACCATGCATTGACGCCTTAGTCCTTGTGGCAATGGTTGCAGGTTTGATTCCCAGCCTGGTGACATTTGCAGCCTGGCCCCTCTTTCCTGTCAAATTACTTTCAAATAAAGCCCACTGGAGCCAACAAAACTTATCAAGTTCTTTCTGTTCCACAAATTTGTATCTTGTAAGCCTTTGTCACAAGATAGTTTTCTGTGAACCTTGACCTGAAGTGGAATTCAAACATGCCAAAATACAAAAGAAAACAATAAACATGTACATGTTAATGTTTTATTTCAGCCTGAAAAAAGCCTGATGTAAATAATTTTATTTTAGGTGTTTCGAGAAGCAGTTACCATAGTCAGAGCTGTGCACATCAATGCTCACAGCCTTTTCACTGCATGTTAGATGTCTGGTTAAATTTACCTTTAAAAATAATCTGATTATTTTTGGAGAATTAAAAAGATACAGCAGGGTTGCAAGGAGCTGCAGAGTGTATGTGTTGTCCTGTTGCTCGTATCCTGAGTGTAGGTTGAACTGAAAATGTGACATTTCATCAATCTGAACACATTCATCTAACTGAAGTGCTTTCCTCTCTGGACTGGACTCTTCCACTATATTACAGATACATTAATAGCAGGAGTGGAAGTGTTGGTGTCATTGCTCATCCCCGCAGCATCCCTAAGGACTCATATGGTGATCCCCGCAGCATCCCTAAGGACTCAAAGTTTGTACTCAAAGTACAACTTTGCAAAGTTGTACTTTGCAAAGTACAACTTTTTGCAAGTTGTACTTTGCAAAAATGGTATTTCATTCTGTAGGTGCTGATGTGGAACGTCGCTTCTGTTTATTTCCTCTATAACCCACAGCGTTCTACACTCGTAAATGTGCAACAACACCTGCAGCTAAGCCACATGCTGAGGCTATTTATACCAGCCTTGTGTCCCCCCTTTACCTGGTGCATCTCAAGTGAACTGATAGAGACTTGATTTTTCAGCAATGGGAGGGATTAAAGGGGGTAACATAAGTGTTTTAGTGGTTCCTCTGTATATCTGCTTGAATTGACAGGACCGTTAACACACATGTAAAATCCTTTCAATAGATCAGAGAAGCCACAGCTCCCTCTACATTTATTGGCCCCTCGGGTGAAAAAGTGAAAAACACCCCTAAACTCATTCATAGCAGAAGAGTTTAGAAAAATTTATCCTTTTATGTTGAGGACATTAAACCAGTGAATAAATTTTTGATGTAACTATAAGTTCTGGATTGACAAAACACCCAGTGTGGACCAATTGACAATATCTGGCACTGTACTTAACAGAGGTGCTTTTTCAATATTCATTCTTTGTTTCACCAGGTCTGCCTGGACTCTACCAAGTTGATACTTAAACGTCACACAAGGACTTTTGAAAACACATTTCTTTTATTTTGAACATTGTGGCTCTGAGTTCCTCTGACTGTTTGACATATCCTGCTGCATTCATTTTGAAAGGTTTTTAATAATAACCAGTTTTCTTTTCACCAGTTTTGCTGAACATGGCACTAGCTAATATTTCAATTAAAATGTAAAGTAACATATTCAATCAATTTTAGCACCACATCTCTGTGAAAGCAAAATTTTACACTGCTGTCATGTTTTTGAAGTACTTCCTGCAGTGTTGGTTGTCCTGTCCTGCGGTTGGCAGCAGCAAACTCTTTGAACACTTGAAGACTAAACAATGAACTCAAATTACTCATCTTAAAGAATCACATTTTTGCCCCTCCTCTTCACAGACGAGTTCTTAGACGAGTTCAGCTAAGAACTTGTCTGCTCTTAGCTGTCCAGGGTGACCCTGCCTGTCACCTGAAACGTTCACTGGAGATAGGCGCCAGCACCCCTCCTGAACCCAATAGGGACAAGGATTTTAGAAAATGGATGGATGGATGGATGGATGGATGGATGGATGGATGGATGGATACAAAAAAAATAATGTATGTTAGTGAAAGAAATCAATTAAATTAACTACTTTGGCCTATCTCAGAATATATCTG